TGTGTGTGTGTGCGTGCGTGCGTGCGTGTGTGAGTGTGTGTGCGTGAGTGTGCGTGCGTGCGTGCGTGTCTGTGTGTGTGTGTGTGTGTGTGAGAGAGAGAGTGTGAGTGATTTCACTGAATGTCTGCGGCAGGTTTGAGAGAGCAGAGGTTGTGAACTCCACATGAACTCCTCTCAGCTCCGGCTCTGAGTTAGGGTCACTAATAATATGCATTTGAGAACACAACACTTCTGCGGTTTTCTGTCAAAATAAAAACATGATAGTTTTAAGCTTGAAAAAGAGAGAAAATAAGACAATTATAAATATTAGTATTGTAATTATTTTGTACTGTAAAGTAAAATGAATTATTTTTTCTTCATGAATTATTTTTTTACTGAAAAAATATTACAATAGTAATATTTCTTTTTGTAATATATTTATTTAGTAGTAATAAAGACAATAGAAATTATAATAACTATTGTTATTATTTATATTATTATTACGATTACTTTGTTGTTGTTGTTACTTAATAAAAACCCAGCTATGTAATAATAATAATAAAATGTATTATCATTGATAAGAATAATAATACATCAAATAATAAAAATAGATTATTATTTTATAGCCAGATTGATATATAATCAAAAAATTGCCAAATTCTGCAGTTCTTTCTTATATACTGCATTTTAATTCATAAGTGCAATTTTCAGATAAATTGCAGTTGGTTTTTTGATTTTACTCAAATCATGCTGTCCTGATAATCAGCAATAATCATTCCTGAAAGAACTTCGAAACTTCGGCTTCAGACTAAATAGTTTACAGTGTTCAGTTCATTCTGTCATGAAACGGACTGCTAAAAACAAACAAAGAACTTTGGAAATGGTCTGTGTTTCTGTCCATTCAGTGACAGTCAGTGGGATCCAAAACAGCTTTAGATCTGACTGACTGCACACTTTATGCACACTTTATTTTCTGAGTTTTTTTTTTTTTTTTTCATTTAAATTTTTCTGCACTCCTTTTTAATGGTTAAATTAAACATGTCTAATTAATTAAAATCATGAAACTTAAACAATTTATTAAAAGTTTAACACAAATGACATGTTTAGGGCCCTATTAAATGTTTTATTTTTTCCAACCTTGTGTTTTATGGTTACCAAATTCTGTTTTAGCATGTCTAATTTTTTGAAAGCATAAAAACAAGTTTGAAAGCCTTCAGGACGTCTCTGTCTCACATAAACCCCAGAGCTGTCTGACAGAGAACAAACAGAGCTGCCTGTTCTCTCACACACATGAAGTTATCCATGTGAAGACTCAGAACCTCTGTTTTCTGTTTTCTTCTAATGAACTCGTCCTGTGTGGATGTAATGGAAATCTGCTTGGGTCGAGTCAGACGTGATTGTTTGCTGTTGTCCTGGAATGCGTCTAGACGCTCGTCTATGGGAACGTCTCGACTGAAAAATGAAGCGATAGAGTTACGATGCTCAGATTGACTCGTGTGTTTCTGTGTGATCTTGATGAAAGACTCATTGTGTGGAGGTGTCACCTGATACAGAGCGTGTGTGTTTGATGCTGTCAGGTGCTCAGTTTGGAGCGGCTCATTGGCTGATCTGATCGTGATTACACACTAACCTCAGCACTTCCTGTGTCTGGAAATCTCTCATCTGATTGGCTTCTGAGTGTGTATGGACACTTTCTTCCCATTCAGCTGGGCACAGTGTTACTGTAATATGTACAGTATGTGAATAAAAAAAGTCCTAACATTTCTTAAATTTAAGGTCATAAGTCTAATAAAATCTTATTAAAAGACTTAAGAATCATTTTAAGAGGTCTTAAGTTTGAGGATGGAACACAGGGATCACAATACGGCCGAATGTGATTATTAAACTCCAGAAGACTTTGATTTCAATAAATATGAGTGCATATATATATAATATGAAATATGAGGCACTCACATTTATTGAAATCAAAGTCTTCTGGAGTTTAATAATCACATTCGGCCGTATTGTGATCCCTGTGTTCCATCCTCAAACTTAAGACCTCTTAAAATGATTATTAAGTCTTTTAATAAGATTTTTTTAGACTTATGACCTTAAATTTAAGAAATGTTAGGACTTTTTTTATTCACATACTGTACATATTACAGTTCACACACGTCTGTTTTTAAATCACAAATGCTGTGGAGCGGCGAACACTTCATCATTACAAACGCTGCTACCTCATATTTGATATTATATATATATAATATCAAATATATATATATACTGAAATATTTTAAATCTAGTGTGATTTTTTTGTATTCTAATAAAATCAATAATTTAGCTTGTAATGTCTCCTTGTATCCCTTTATGAAGGTATTAAAAAGTTTTAATTTTCACAATTTAGGGCTTTAAAAGGTTCTTAAATCAGAGCAGAAAGTCTCAGTTTCATGAAGTCATGCCATTAAATGTTGCATGCACTGAAAAAATTTTATATCTATAAAAATTGAGATGCAAAAATGAACAGATTACGTCGTGTTTTCTGAGAAACCGAACAAAATATTTATTGAGTTTATGCTTAAAACAAATATCTGTCAATGAGGAATAAAAATTACTTTTTCATTTGAAATACAAGACATTTACATTTAGAGACCTTATTGACATATAGTATTCCCTTCAATTTATTCCTTAATTTTTCTTTCTTTGGTCTTAATGTGATACATTTACCTTCATAAAACCTGCAGAAACCTGCATTAGAAAACAACACATTATTTTATGAATTGTCATTGCACCCCTGAAGTTTTTGTGCTGCACTCTTCAGGCAATGTCTTCCTCATGTTTCTCTCATGTTTTCCTCATGCATTCCTCATGTTTTCTTGAAGTTTCTCTTGTTTTCTTCACGTTTCTCTTGTCTTCTTCATGTTTTCTTCATGTTTTTCCTCATGTTTTCCTCATGTTTTTCTCTCATGTTTCTCTCATGTTTTCCTCACCTTTCTCTTGTTTTCTTCATGTTTTCTTCATGCATTCCTCATGTTTTCCTCTCATGTTTTCCTCATGCATTCCTCATGTTTTCCTCATGTTTCTCTCATGTTTTCTTCATGCATTCCTCATGTTTTTCTCATGGTTTCCTC